TAATTAGTTTATTACCCCTGAAACTTGCGCGTGGCTCAATCGTCGTAAGATTGTTAAAGAAAATGCCAATGCAGATAAAAATGACGTAGATAATCTAGAGACAATATAATATATATATATATATATATATACAAGTATCGAAGTTGACTTAACGTAGACTTTCACGTGGGCGAAAAAATAAAGAGCGCACGTCATGACTGTTAAATGTCAGCGAAATATTTTCAATGCGCCTCATCGAGCGGCGTCATAAGTTGAGCAAACGTGTCGAGCTTGCAAAAGATTGTAATGAAGTCAACAGTTGTGAGGCCACTAAAATACGAAAGTTTTGCTTTAAAATTATATTGTGTGTCGCTTTATGATTATATTCGCAGTGGATTTCCGATGTTATTCGATACTGAAAGAGCATTTGATTAAAATTTTTGTTGTGATAGATTTGTATGTCTGCGAAGCATTAAATTTATTTATATGAGAAATGTGATCTATTAAATGCGTATGAAAGTTTTAAAAACATAATACATAATATATCAAAATCAAGATCATGTTGTTTACAATCAGTAGATAAAAATGTGTTGGCAAACAAGTAATGTCGTAACATCGTATGTGCGATCTAAAGTTTTCGCGGGAGATTTCATTGCAAAGTTTTCGGAACTTTCTTCCAGAAGTCTTCTTTGTGCTTTTGTTTGGAATAACAATAAGGAATAAAAAGAAGTATCAACGAAATTACGTCATCTTGGGCCTATGTCGGAAAGTTTTTCATAATGACTAGATTTCACACCACTCGTTGCTTTAATTAATGAGCCATAGATTTACAGATTTCAGTTAGAAATTTTTCACAAAATTTCACATTTGTTTTACATAATTAATTTTTTATCTATTCCAAATGATAGTATTTTTATTTTTCTTAAAAAAGAAATAATATCATAAAGCGCTTTGTAATACATGAAAAAATTATAATACAAAAATTTGATGTTGCTAGAGTTTAAAATATCTTATGATATGATTATATGTGTGTGTGGATCTTATATACTTATATTTTTTTCTAGTAATTACCAAATTTTTTTTACGTTTTAAACATTTTTTTCACACGTTATTGAAAAATTATCTTGTATATATAGCAAATACAGTCTCTCTAATAATTTTTTTCAATTTTTTTCTTTTGTGCATTTTTGTAATTACTACATTACTATAATCTCTAAAGCTGTGGTAATAATACTCGATATTATACGCTGTAGATTTATTCTGAAAATTACGTGTGAAAATTTCCGTGAGGATTCATTTGCATGGAAAGATAATTCATCAAAGATGAATGAGAAAATGGTGTAATGTAATAAGAAAAAAATCGTACATCTTTGTTCAATTTACATACGTCGACATACGAAAAATACGTCGATGATATTCTTGTAGTTAAATCAATTATTTTAAATTGATTTAAATCATTTCACCTTTCAGATTCAAAAAGCGCATCATTTTCCGTTTTATTTCTGGCAAAAAAATTATTCTCCGTCAATAAAAATTACCCAATAAAACCTTTATCGAGACTCCATCAAACCAGATATCCACCATCGTATAAAATACGAACGAGTTTTATTCATCTTGTCGATTGCGCCTAACAAAACAATTAACGATATCACAATAATTCATTCGCATTGTCATTATATTTTGTGAATGCATTGTATCATATCTGTGCTTCCATATTTTATGTTTAATTACGTAATAACAGATGTTTAATTTCCTAGTTATTATTCAATTGTATATAGTTTTTCAATAAATAATCATATAAACCGGTATCACACATTTTAATCAAAATATATATAATTTCAATTATTGTCCATCTTTCGCTCAGAATGGATCGTGAAATATATTTTTCCACGTGTTACCGAGTTCGAAACTTTTCTATATTGCTTACTTTCGCGACGTACAATACCCGGTCATAAATTAATTCGCTGTCAGAACCGTTTTAAACCTACGTGAATCGATAATATATGCACAGCCTATATAGAAGAGATGTTACGTGCGATGAGAGACATGCTCCCATCGGCGCATCAAAATGTACGTCGCAGTTATGGGTCGGGAAATTAGGTGGACCAGTATATAACGCACCGCGAACCTCGAACTGTACTTATCTGGGTCACCTTCGTAGTAGAAACTGTTCATGTTGTGCAGATATATAATGAATGTACTCGAAATCCGTTGGGCATTTAATTGTCTATCGCGGAATGCATATGTGCAATACGTGCATTGAAGAGACAGTGTTTATAATTACAACAGTAATTGTGTCAAGTCACAAATCCATTCTGCTTGAAATAATATTTCTATGTATTCAAAAATACTATATTTAATAGTTTAATAATATAAATACATTAATTCATTATGTATGTATGTATGTATATATGTGTGTGTGTGTGTGTGTGTGTGTGTGTGTGTGTGTGTGTGTGTGTGTGTGTGTGTGTGTGTGTGTGTGTGTGTACATATACATACATATACAGTGTTTCAGAAATAATTGGCCAAACTCTAAGAGCATATTCCACTCATTATAAGGAAAAAAGTTATATAAACATAGGTTCGGACACGCTTTCTTTCTAAATTATAAACATTTTTTTATTTAATATTTGTATCTATTTTTTATTTTATGCTTATCTATATTTTCATTACAGAAATTGCTGAAAATGATTTCCTTCCGCATTGATGCATACTTCGCGACGTCGCATGGATTATCAAAGACGTTCAAAAATTCTCGGAGCATATTTTTTTACACACAGCGATAATATGATTACGCAGCAATAATACGGTCTGCATGTTTTCCTGATTTGGATCTTTTGGATCTTTATTTATGGGAACATTTTAAGACGACCCTCGTGTATAATAATACTCCTGTTGCTACTGTAGAAGTATTCCGTAATCATTTCCAGCAATTTCTGTAATGAAAATATAGATATAAGTATAAAATAAAATATAGGTATAAGTATAAAATAAAAAAATGTTTATAATTTAGAAAGAAAGCGTTTCCGAACTCCGAATTCCGAACTGTTTATATAACTGTTTTCAATAAATAGAATATACAATAAGTAGAATACTCCTAAAGTTTGGCCAACTATTTCTGAAACACCCTACATATATATAAAAATTATTACATTCATAAATACTATCACTTAAAAGTTTCAACATTTATAGAAATTTCGTAATATAATATAAAAAATTAAATGTGATTACAATTTATATTATGTTTTTAAATCTATTATTACATATATTCATTACAAATAAAAAAAAATTTTCAAATTTTTTTATTTCTTCAAGCTTAATCTCTTTGGGTTTCGATAATAGAAGCAAAACTCTTAGCATTTTGTCGATAAGTTGTTTTTCAAGTATTATAATCAAAGATTTGTGTTTAATCTGATGTTTAATTTCTGTAAAAATATATATATTGTTCTTCGAAAGGCAATGGATTGCGCGCGCGCGCGCGTGTGTGAGAGAGAGAAATTATTTCCATTCTTGTATTGTTAGCTGTCACAATTTAAATGTTTATTCTTGTCTAGAGCAAAATTTGAAATTAATATTTCTCTCAACAGATATACATAATATTTCTCAATTTGAGAAATTTATAATTTCCGATTATTTTTCGGCAATTCGCGATTCTATTGAACATATTCATGGTAAAAAAAAAAATATGGATATCCACTGTTTCATTTTTAAATAAACTATGGTATTCGATATATTCATAGACGGATCTTATATTTAAGATTGTCTTAAGTATAGTCTTGAGAAGTCACGAACCAATTAGAGAACCGTATTATCGCCTTAAGACATTACTTAAGCAGTGAAATAAGAATGGACTATGAATATCTTAAGGCTAATTCATCTATTTATTTTCAATATTTTATAAATGAAAAATAAAATTGTTAGTGAATACATAAAATGTGCTGAAATTTTTGGGCGATAGTGAATAAATAAATAAATAAATATACACACACTCTCTCTCTCTCTCTCTCTCTCTCTCTCTCTCTCTCTCTCTATATATATATAT